CTCCACCGCCACCGCCACCGCCACCGCCCGCCCCCGCCGCCACCGCCGCTACAGCGCTGCCGGCAGCGCCCCTTGGATCGCGCATCTGCCTGCTCGCGGAGCCGGAAAATTAACGTGGGAGGATGACGGTTCCGTCTGCACCGCTCGTCCGCTCGCTCGCCTGCGCCTCCTGCCCGCCCACCCGCTTAGAACGTGGCGGAGGCGGCGGCGGCGGCGTCGCATGGATATCGAGATGAGAACGCAGCAGAGTGCGTTATTATTTTCAGAGGGCGGTAGAGGCGCGTGGGCGCAACTTCAAGAGGTGGATGAGTCGAGAAGACCTTGGAACAAAAGACGGATTTGATTGTTTTTGAAGTGATGTTGGAGAGGCGCGGTGCTGTTTTTGAAAGTGTATTTAATATGATGTTGAAGAAAGATATTCTCTATTATATTTTTTAAAATTAAAGAACAATTAATGATTGTCTATACGATGTGCTTTTTTGTGAGGCAGTGGTGTCTTGAGGATATATAAAGACAATCAAACAACTATTTTGTAACAGAAATATTATTCTTTCTTTATTACATGATGTAATTTATTATCGTTAGTACTTCTTGGTAAAACCTGCCTTTAAGAAAACTATTTTTTAAGAAATATTTAAGTGTTTACAAACTTTTATATGTTTATCACTTGTCCTTGGCTTCTATAAAATAGTACAATGTAGAAATTGGGCTCATTAAAGAATCATTAGGGAAGTAGAGGCCGTTGCTGCAGCAATATAAATATTCCTTGAACCATTATAGAGGAGTATTCCAAAGTGAAGTATTTTTGAAAATAATTTGTTAAATTGAAAGGGGTGAATACGTATTTGCCGCCGAAGGCAGAAGAGAATTTTACAGTACCACTGTCTTAGCGAATCTATGGAAATTAATTTTTCAATGTACGTCAACACACAACATATAATAATCTTTGTATAATATGTTTTTTCATTGTTTCTGTACTCTTAACTGTTTGTAAATCTGATGATGGATTTTAAATTTGAATCATACGACTGATTAAGAAAACGCCAAACCTGGTTGTTTTGTAACGTAAAAATGTGAGAAATTATGTTGGTATATAATATGTGATGTTATTCTAAAACGATATCGGAAGGGAAGGTTTTTCGGAAATACATTTAGAATATTGTGTTTGTTGTTTAATTAATTAATGTAATATCATTGCGAGAACTTCTCTCTTCGTTCAATTAACAGAAAGTCTTCAGCTCTCCGCCAGAATCAAATCTACGATGAACTAACTCGCAGTGGTCACCCAATCTCTCGGTCTTCATGTCATGTTCCCATACAATAGCTGTCCCAAACTCCAATCAACACTTAATCCCTCAACGTTCCCGAGAGGAGAACTTCACAGTTCATCTCAGGGTTCCGATTGAGTACCTGCCCAAACCCCGCTAACTCACGTGTAAACCATTCAATCGATAACCCAATCCTCGACCATTAACGGCAGAGCATTAGAGAGTCGACCGAACGCGACCGCCCCATGGCCAGCCGGCCGGCCACCGCCTATCAAGCATCTTTCCGGGAAGTCCATCAGAGGACACGAAGCGGGGGGAGTGGCGGGCGCCGGGGAGGCATTCACGGGGCTCGATCCCTGGACCGGCGGCGCGCGCGGAACTCCTCGGGGAAGGCCAGGGCAGGCCGGAGGGGGCGCGCCTCCGATTGCCCATTGTCCGGTGGCCGCGCCCGCATTAGTATCCACCCTTTGTGTGCACACGGCCCCTCCGTGAATGGGGTAGTTATGAATTGTTCTTGGGGGAACACCCACCTCCCGGGCCCTGCCTCTCCCTTCCCCTTCCGGGCGGAGGAGCCAGCGGGGTTGAGGGTGGGGGTAGATTAGCAAGGGAATGTCGGGGCAGCTCAAGGGGTCGCCGACCCGTTCCCCGTGCGTGCCCTATCTTCGTGTGTCCCCTCCTCTCCTACCTCTGTGCCTCCTCTTGCCCCATAGCTTTCCTCTTCGCTCGTCCTGTTTCTCCCCATTTCTTCCCATACCGCTTGTTCCTGTGACGCTCCCCACGCCTGCCTCTTGCCGTCACTGTTTCCCTGCCGAGCTCTCCACGCTCCGTCTCTCGTCGTCCCTCGTCGCCCCGCGTTCCATGCCGGCCCGTCCTCACTACTCCATCTCGCCTCTCATTTCACTCCAACCCGTCTCTTTTCACCATGCTCTTCCAGACTCTAATCTTCCCATCACGTATTCCTCGCCCTGCCTTTCCCGACTACGTTCTCGTCGACCGTCTTTCTCTGTCCCAGCTCTTCCGGCCTTCATTTCTCCCCTCCTCACCTCTGCCCGCTCCAACTTTTCCCGTTCCCATCTCTCCCCGACCCATCTGTCACTGCCCCCATCTCCCTCTTCTCCCAACTCGTCCCGTCCTCATCTCTCACCCCCCATATCTCCCTGACCCATCGCTACTCTTCATGTCGTTTCCGTACAATCCTGCTGCACTTCACAACGTGCGTGCCGTCACTTCAAACCCCGCCTCTCCCCGGCGACTTTCACCGCTCCGCCCTGCCTTGCTGTTTCTGTCTCTCGGCCACGTTAATTGAAGCGACCGCAGTCGATAGAGCCGCCGGCATCGCCGCTGCTGTTCCCGCCGCCAGCGGTCGACGATTCCAGATCGGCCTGCCCGGCCACCCTCGCGGGCGGGCAATGGGGCGGGTGGAGCGGCGGGCAGTGGGGACAGCGGGCGGGTGCTCGCCGAGGGGCGGACGTGTGGGCGTGTGGGCCGGAGGATGGCCTGTGGCGGGGAGCGGGCGGGGGAGGACGCCGAAACTAACTAGAAAATTGCAACGTATGGCGACTGAATTCGCCGGGTGGATTATGGATGACACGCAGGCTGGTCTTGTCTTACAGCAAAAGGCAGTGTACTCGTTGGACTGAACTCGATATCTGAACTTTTCAGAAGTTTTATAAGTAAAGATATAGAAGGAAGCTGACTTCTTCTAAATCGAAACTAAAAGAAAAATTCATATACATTTTATTAGAAATGTTTCAAATTTATAAATATGTTCAGAAAACAAGAATGTGTTATTGAATGTCGGATAACAGACCATTCCTATTTAATATTGTAACATAAGTAAAATTGCTGATCTATAAAAAATAAGTTTTATAACGCCTTGATTACTCGTACAATACTGTGAAAACAAAGCGTGTTCTCTTGATTCCGAAGACGTCTTACTCGAGACTCACGGGACCGATCGCAATAGAAACAATAAACTCCAAACTACTCAGACAGCTAATTAAGAAGGGTTTTTATACAAAGCAAGATTCAAAAATCTCCTGGAGAGATTATTTACATGATGAAATTCTTAAATTAAACCGTTTATTTTGCAAGGAAGAAGATATTAGTGTATTAGAATTAGTAAAAATATGTTATGGAGTGTGCAAGGCTTCATTGTTAATACCAAGTGTTCTTTGTATCATGTGTCAAACGTATTGTTTTGTTCTAAAAAAACACCCAATGAAACTTCCTACGGCATTTTCCACCAACTATTCATAGATGTAAGTGTAAAAGTTTTAGACATTTTTAGTTACTGTTTCAGTTACTTTCTCGGTTTTATGTTGGACAACAAATACTTAAATATATTTTCTAACATGTCTTTAAAACTGTAGTATTCACTGTTAAAATGTAATATTTTATTATGCAGTATTAAAAATGTTTGTTAACATTAAAAAAATGTTCATACTAAAAGCGACCACAGTCAACTCTTTCTCTCTTCATTAATAATGCATGTAAACAGCTCTCAAGTGGCCTGAAAATAGCATCGGAGACTACCATATGAAACGACATTGTTCATTAAATTGCATACAAAATGTCCACTCATCATGCATGAAATTCAACTGAAACTTACGGTAGTATTTGCTCTGTGAAGTTAATCATCCTCACTCATTTGATTCGCAATAAAACAGTTTTGTTGTATCGGAACTAAAACCCGATTTATTATTTTCATTAATACTATCTCTTCTTTTGAAATTGTAACAAAGTTGAATATTTTATAAATCTGCTGAAGATTAATAATTTATTGGGTGTTTGAAAAATCAATCATATATATTTTCAAATGTATGAGTTTGAACGTCACGTAAAAAGTCGTGCTCTTTATAGAAATAAAACGTCTTCACCAATATTTTTATTCGCAAGATGAGCAGCTCTTAATTACTTCGCCATCATTTCAGAATTATACTACCATTTTGATTGTGTATATAATACGTTGCAATTCTTCTTCCATAGCTTCAAAAATCTCTAGTTCCCATCATAATAAATTAAGCCTATCAGAAGACGTGTATCTTAAATATAATTTTAGTCGTGAAATCAGTATCCCCAATATGCAACGGCTGATGTCATCTTATTGTGCTGTCTCTGCAGTGACTCTGATCCGCGAATCCTAGGGTTCTATTCCCGCTGATGGCGGACATAGCTAGGTCGAATTCAACTGCTGCCTGGAAGAGAATTCTAGCGCCCACCTCTGAGGTGTTGATTTCCATGGTTTCTCCGATCAACACCTGGCGCATTCCGAAGCAGTAGTTTATCAAATTGGCCACTGACCACGCGCAAGCTTCCCGTCCTCCTTCTTGTCATTTGCCACATGTCCCTCGTTACTATTTCACTTCTGTCAATAAATTATCCTTCCCTTCTTTTTCCAATCCTTTCCCCATCCCTCCTCTCCGATCAACATTTATATGGGGGAAGATAGGAATTACATCATTTTGTCACGTCACCATGTTGTTCGATACTAGCAGAACAAAACAACCAAGACCAAATACATTCCAACCACACAATGTACTTGATCTTGAACACAATGTAATAACAAATTGTAGAAAAGTATTTCTCATTTTATTCCTTTTTAGATATTATTAAATTTTGGTTTCTGTCATAAAATCTTTAAATACGAGCGAGTGAAAACACACTACATTTCATTGAAAGAATTAATCGTGAAACCTCGTTGAAGAGAAAGCTCAAACTTCTTTCTACGTACACTAAAACCTTTAGCGTTTTAAATATTTAAATGAATTACAAAGTGCACAATGTTTGCACCAACTTAACTGGTATACTTTGAATTGGGACAAATCCTTTCAGTTACACAGGGTTAGACAGTTCTTCCGCACGTGCGATCATTATCCTCTCCCATTACGTCCATGTCACTTTCTTCAGAATCTGTGCGTCCTAGGCTAGCTGCAAATTGTGTTTCAAAGTGGGTTTACGTTCGTTTTCCTTACGACGTAATATTTTATATGAAATACACATAATATTTTACGACATCTTTAAAGTTGAGGCGGAGGTTGAAGATGAGGCGGAGGTTAAAGTTGAGGCGGTGGTTGAAGTTGAGGCGGTGGTTGAAGTTGAGGCGATGGTTGAAGTTGAGGCGGTGGTTGAAGTTGAAGTGGTGGTTGAAGTTGAGGCGGTGGTTGAAGTTGAGGCGGTGGTTGGAGTTGAGGCGGTGGTTGAAGTTGAGGCGGTGGTTGAAGTTGAGGCGGTAGTTGAAGTTGAGGTGAAGGTTGGAAGTTGAGGCGCAGGTTGGACATTGAGGCGGAGGTTGGAAGTTGACACGGAAGTTGAGGCGGAAGTTCAACCGAATGTGAGGCGAATGTCGAGACAGACATTGCAACAGCGGCAGTAGTAAAAGCTGCGACAGAAGCGGAGGTTGAGGGCAGGCCACAACTTGGCAGAGGCAGTAACACGCCAACGGGCGCGCGCGTGTTGGCGCAGCAGGGGCGGGGAGCGCGGAGTCGCAACGACCCCGCGGGCGCTGTATCCCGGTCGGCCGTAATAAGAAGTTCATCACCCGAGGCCCGCAGCGCGGCGCAGAGGCGGGGGCGGAGGCGGGCGGGAAGAGGCTGAAGGGAAGTTTGGGGGCGCGGGCGGGGGCGGCGGCGCGCGCGGCACGCGGAGCGGCGTATTGGCCGATCGCGTCACATTCATAAGGCGTGTCGGCACGCGGGAAACGCCGCCCCGCCGGCCTCGCCCCCGCCCCGCCCCCGTCCCGCGCATAGCTCCGCCCCGCGGCCCCCGCGCAAACGCCGCCCCCGCCAGCCGTTCGCCCTTCGCCGTGCCCCGCGCCCTCGCCAGCGCCGCTGGGGCACAGTGGGCCGGAAAGGCGGCGGACCTGCGTTAGATAGTTCGTAAGGCTACATTTGCTTGCTTGCTTGATTGATTGATTGATTGGTGATTCCCGTCGCGGCGCGTCAACTGCTTGAGTCCACAGGTTCGACTAGGTAACGGTTAGCGTATACGGCTGTTACCAAATTTTCGGGTTCAAACCCCGTCGAAGTAGTGGAATTTTAAACGCGAAAAAATTCATCGTGCGCTTTTCTTCGGAAGGGAAGTAAAGTCGGCTTTCCCTTGTTGTAGATTCACTGCATGTAAAAGAAACTCATGCCGAAAAGAAGCCTCTTAGATAAATTCAAATTCGCCTGTTTCGTCGCCCAAGACATACCTTTTTTCTTCGCTAGATGGTAAAAGGAGCGTAACAAAATTTGCGTGGTCAGACGGAAGAGCGGGCCTAATGTCCGGACTCTCGCGAAGTAAAATATGGCATTCACTTACAAAAGTCATTATTCTCGTAAGTTTAATGCATGCTTTCTATGGCGGGAGATGGAGTGATTTCCCGCGGGATAGCGAGATCCGGTGCCAACTTTAAACACTGACTAGCGAGGTATTCCTCAACCAGGTTTCTCTATCCAGCCGGACCCCGCCTCAGCTGGTACAAGATAAGCTCCTGACTATTCTCCCATGTGTGGTAGTGAATGTAGGTGTTTAAGTAAGGGGTTAGGATCGGACAAGGAAGAGGAAAAAATGTTTGCGCGTTGTCTGTGACCCGTTTGCTGTTCTACAGCTTCGGCATTCACCTGGTGCTGACCGGAGAAACCACGGAAAACTGGCAATGAGAACAGCAGGCCACTAGAACTCTCTTCCAGACAGAGACTGAATTCGACCGAGGTTAGTAATGTCGAAAATCCAGTCACTGTCGTATCTCCTACTCAAGGACTTCCCGGTCAGAGGCACTGCAGTTATATCAATCGCTGAACTGAGCCAACTCCCGGTAGTAGGAGTATAATATAAAATAATTATATTATAATAAATTATAAAACTATCTATAAGACTGTAGTAGACAGCTTGTGTACCTATGGAAAGGAAACATGCTGAATTGAACTGCGGAGACGAATTGAACAAAAGGGATAAAAGCAGGTGGAAGGCTCTTGAAATAGATTGCAGAAAGAGTTAACGTATAAGATGCCATAAATGATGAACGTAGAGTGCAGCATTTTGGATACCGTTGAAACCAAACGGCTGAATTGAAATGGACATCTCCTACGCATTGGCAACAATTGGTGGCCAAAAGCAACAATTGAGGGTGTGAACACATCCAGAACGTAAAAAAGCGTAGAAGGCTACCAAGACGTAGCAGAAACGACGCGAAAGTAAAACGTCTCAAAGGTGGAGACTGGAAAGATCGAAAGAGAGGGAAGCTGAGATGCGGGAAGCGGCGCCATAAAAAAACTCGCAGAATTCGTATTTCGACTTTTTACGACTTTCTCCCTTGCATCTTCTGTATTTACATTTGCTGTGTCCCACTTATATTTACTTTCTTTTAAAAACAACATCCAAAAGTCCTTTTCAGTACAAGTTGTTCTTCTTGATTTTCTTCGTTACTCTCAATGTATACTTGTACTAATGCTAGATATACAGCAAATGTCTTTTAATAACAATGTTTCTGTGCCACATGATAATTAAGTTCAAAATGCTTCTACTTCCCGTGTTATTCTCTTCCTCATTATTTTCGAAGAAAACAGTTTGGTAGCTTCTGAGTTTCCCTTTAGAAACTGTGATTCATTGATACATATTTCACTGAAAATCATATGTTAATTCACACCACTTGTAATTAACAGATGCATGTCATAAACAATTAAAATCTCATTTTTATCTTGTAAAATTGAGCCTTTGGCGGAATTCAGTTTTATTCATTGCATTTTCATTTCATTGATTTACTTGCATATTTGCTGAGGGTGCCGAGGCATTTTCAATTTATTACGCCAACCAGCGCGTTACTAGAATTAGCACACACATTGCGCTACGAGAATCGTGCATTGCTCCTCAAAAGCTGGTTGTTCTCATCTGGTCACTTACTGTATTACTGACTAGCAGAACCCGGCAGACATTGTTTTGCCCTTCATCTCCCTCTTTCTGCTACTCTCTCCCTTTCTCTCTCCGTCTCTCACACCGTCTCTCTCACCATCTCTCTCCCCGTCTCTCTATCTCTTCGTTTCTCTTTCCCTCTCTCCTCTCTCTCTCCGTCTCTCTCTCCGTCTCTCTCTCTCCGTCTCTCTCTCCGTCTCTCTCTCCGTCTCTCTCTCCGTCTCTCTCTCCGTCTCCCTCTACGTCTTCGTCTCTCCCTTTATCGTCGCCTGCAAGTGGAGCGCGAGTTTAAATGGGAATTGAATGAAAATGAAAGGGCAATTTTATTCTACAGCACCATCTAGTTTAGTTGCAACAAAATTAATAGCAGATAAACTTTCTGAATGCAAAAGCATGTAGGTGTGCCACCTTTCAGGGAGGTCGGTCACACAGTGTCGGAGTTAACCGCTCTTTTATAACCGACATCCATTTTTATACAGATGTGTAGATGAAACCGGAAAAGATATTGTTCCAAATATGTCTAGCTCAGTTTCTGCCTAACTAGGATGCAAATTTTGTTTAAATACGTCAGTGCAGCCAACAGGTGGGTCTCGTTTCACTTATTTACTTCAATACAGAATATTTTTCACTGCAAAGCAAATATAAGCAAGTGCTCGGACCCTTGATAACATCGCTCACTTAGTGATTGTTTTTCTCCTGGCACCTTGATACCAGAAAATAGATTGACGACAAAACGTCTCTGGCGGTATGTCGGTCTGTGCATAACGCTAGCACCCAAACTGTTTTGACGATTTTCTCCATTACACCTGGACAAACTCAAGATACTAGTAGTTCGAAAATAATATTTTGAACTTTTGATTTGGTTAACGAAAAACATCAACATTTTCAAATTTTTTCAGAAAATTGCTTCAATTTTTTTTTATTGAACTTTGCCTTCGAATTACACTATTCGAGGGCGCTTAAAATATGGCGCAAGGCTTATTTTCGGTGATATCTCTAAAGTTTTAAAAATTGTAAATGTTCAAATTCTTTTCGGCGCCTTTCATCAACAACAATTTTGACTTTTTTTAATTAAATCTGTTCTTCAAAGACAAATCTTGAAATAAGGTCGTGTACATTTTTTTCAAAATACGAGTATGTCGCGTAATTTTAAATGAAATATATTAACGTTTTAAACATATTTTACTAAGAAATGGCTTCCATTTTTTCTTTAAATTTACTCTTCTAATGTATCAAAGGGCGGTTTAAAATTGGTGCTAGGGCCATTTTCGGCGAAATGTATTTCGATAATTGCAAAAGGTTATTATTGAAAAGTATAATATTGAAAATATAAAGTTTTGTCTGAAGTGATATATCCTTAATAAGCTTTATGTTTTTGGTCGCATGAACTGCACTCCTATGTTGCAACGAACAGTAAACAAAATATGCAGGTCAAATTTTCTGCAAACTCTCCGCATTTTCGAAATTGCATAAAAAAATATTGATAGATTTTTAGTTCAATAATATATTTCCTAGAAAAATTTATATTTAATAAAGGTCATGCACAATTTCTAAACATTCGAATACTTTAAGGTAATTTTGCATTTTTTCACATTAGATTCTTTCAGAAATTGTCAGGTTGCAATCCAAAAAGGGGACGTCGCGCCGCCATCACGGCAGTTTGAAATTCTCAGAATAACTTCTCATTGCCGGGCAGTGTTTTTGGCTGCTGAAACGGAGTTTCAGATTGTCGAATTTGTGTTGATGTATTACAATTAATGCATTACATTTTAGCGCATATGCGCTATGCTTGTGAATGCGTTTTATAAATGAAGGATAAGATGTGTTATGAGATTTGAACAGAAATTGTGATATTGTAATTTTACCCAACCATTACTGTTGAGATAAATTACTATTTTAAGTACCACTAGTTTCTCAATGAAATCTCTTCTTTAAAAGTATATCTTGAAATAACGTAAATGACAATCTCTGGGTTTTTTAAACTGAAAATGCAGATCGTGACCTTTTTTAAGATTCAGAAAGGTTGTGTTAAGCCGCACGTCTTAACAACCAGTAATGTGCGGGGGTAATGTGACTGGAGGGTTAACTTGAAGGATCTGAGTTCCAATCTCAGCGAGTAGAAAACTCGGTTGTAGGTGGAAAATACTACTGAGTTTTTATTCATTTATTTATTTTAGTTTATTTATTTATAAAACATTATTTATTTAATTATTTTTATATATTTTAGAAAAATACAAGAAAGTAAAAAGTTAAGTAGTCTTTCGTATATAGATAAAACCATAGCAAAGAAGTACGTGTCCAATAAAACTCGAAGTAACTCTGTGCGAATAGCTATATTCTACCTATTCAATAGTGTTTGTTTTTAAGGTGCAGAAAAAATATTACTCTGGATGTGATCGAAAATCAACAATATAAATATTACAGTTACATCCCACTGACACACCGAGAGATGTGGCTAATTGTATCAACTGATGTCACTGCAGAACCTCGTCCTGTGGTTCGAGGAGACCTGACGGTGGCAGGATTTTTCATACCAGTCAGTTAGCTAGATTGAGATTTATTGCTGTCTGAAGGAGAATTTAGTAGCCGACTGCTCTGATCGGTAGTGTTCCGTAATTTACCAGCATACTACCAGGCAAAAGCCGAAGCAGTATCCTAACAAACGGGCCAAACGCCACACGCGATCGTTCCTTCCCATTCCTTGTCTTTCCTTCCTCTTATTTACACACAAACACTTGCACTACACTACCACACATGCCGGGAGACCGATCGGGAGGTTAGAGCTTGTCCCGGCTGGCATAGTGTACCGCTGGTGGGAGATACCTAGTTGGGGGAAAAACCGCTAGCCTATTGTAGGACGGTGCCGGATCTCGCTATCCAGCGGGGCAAAACCACCGCCACCTCCCGAGCAAAAATCATTCACTACATTTACGGGACTAATGACCTTAGCAGTTGACTCATCTGCAATCACTAGTAATCAATCAATCATCTTAATGGCGGTATAGTGCGTTTTTATTTCTCGACGTACTCGTCTTTCGGCCTGTTCGGGGCAAGTGTGCGCGCCCGTCTGCGCCTCGTCGCCCGCCCTCCGCCCCCGCGCTGCTCTCGAGTCCACCGGGCAAGGCGGAGCAGCATCCAAGGGCGGCGAAAAGGGCTTTCGCTCGTGATTAATATCTTCGACAATTTATGGACGCGCGGCTTTCATATCGCCTTCCGGCGGCCTCGTCAAGCAACAATCGACCCCTTGTTCGGGCACAGGCCAGCCCTTTAGTGTTGTAATTGATCGGAACATTCTTTTGTGTGACACGTTTTTCTGTTGGTAAGGGTGGAGGATTTAGATCGGCAAAAATAGCGGCAAGTCGGGTAACTGAAGAACACTTGAGAGCGTATTGCTTAGTGTCTTAAAAATTGTCTTAAAAATGTCTTTAAAATTAGAAAAACGTTGTGTAAATGGATTCGGGCGAGTAATTGAGCTTGATATCTCAAGAAAAATGAAATACTGTCTTTGATAGAAAAGAAAACATTTTAGTATATAATTAACAATATTGTTGAGGAAATTTTAAATGGTTTTTTATACATCTGATCACAACTACACGAATTTTATTTTTATAAATGTTGTGTTGCTTTGATATTTACTATGTGTCTATTTTGTACATATCTTTCATATCTCATTCGCACTACGTGCGTGCAACATGAACAAAAGTCGGAGTTCGCATGCAAAAGCTTAACTTTCCATTTATTAGCTTAAATTTACAATTTATTAGAAGACCTAGATGGTTGGGACCTAGCTAATATGCTAGTGTTGAAAATCCGTCATCATTCCTTCCTTCGGGGGCCTTTCAGACAGCATCGCCGCAAAGACAAAGGCATGTCTGTCCTAAGCCATTGAAACAAGTGAATAAATATATCGAAAATATTATTAGCTTATACACATTTTCATTTATGTGTTATTCTCATTAAAAGTTTTTTGATTTTTATATATCTGGACACGTCAATTGCTATGGTTGTAATAATAATAATAAAAATAATAATATTACTATTAGTAATAATAATAATAATAATAATAATAATATTAATAATCATAATAATAATAATGCCTTTATTAATGGCGAGTCTCAGCTCGTAGAGCCTGCTCTTCCGCCTCACCACTGAATTTACATACATGGTTGTAGGTGCCAAGTTCACTGTATGTTTTCATCGTGGGATTTGGCGGTGTTCTTCCGTCCCTAAAAGCCGAGATCCGACGCCAACATTTGCCTCGTAAAACTTCCGATCTGAGCAACCGCCTGTTGTATTCTTCTTCAGGCAACGGCTTAACTCAACGTAGCAATCTAACTAGCATTATAAGTTCTACAGAGGGTCCAGAATCTCCCGTTGCAAAGAAAATGCCTCAATTCTATGATATATTTAAGGAAGAATGGCAGATCCAGCTTTTTCGAAAAAAATGGGCTTCTAGAAAATGGAGTTACTTTGGTGCGCAAAATTCAAACCGGCTGCCGCGTCACAACAGACATCCCGCGCGGCGTCGGCTATGTTTTTGTTACTTGTAACAAAATGATGTTTCAACAAGAATAAATTTAGTCAATTCAGCTTAATGATTAAAAATGGTTTTTCAATACGTTTTGAATTGCTTTAATTTTGTGTTGTCTGTAAAGAATAGAAGGGTACCCTAATACATAACTTGAATACAAAGAAAATCATTAAATAGAAGAACTTAATAAATTTATAGCACCATACAATCAATGCTTTAATTATTACACGTGGGGTAGTTTAATTATTATTGCGTGTTTGTAAACATTTTACTAATTTTTAGTGCATTTGTAATAGGAATTTTACGAAATTACGTCTCCAACATTGTCATCTTGAAAAAAATAACTTGCTTATGTTAATAATAAAATCAGCTTTGAAGGAAGGAACATAGTTATAAAGATATTTAGATACTTGATGTAACTGCGCCAACTTCCACAAATCGTCGCTTCACCTTGTGGGCACCTCTGTTGCGTGTCCATCTGCTGCTATACTCCGCCGGCAACTTTCTCGCCCTTGACTGTCGTTTGCATGATTTATTCTTATATTATAACAGAACTATGAGAAGATAACACTTTCTTGCTACGATTTTGTTCCCTTAGTCGTGTCATATATTTGCTTTCTTGTTGGAATTGTTTACTTATGAATGGTATTTTACGAATACGTATTGTGGATTGTGTACAACAGTACAATGGATAACCTTCAGGATGTGCCCTTCATTTTGTTGTGGGTATTATGGCAAGTAGCGTGCAGGATATTGTTTGGTAACCAAGTTTACGCAAATTAATCAATCCTCGCACATCAGTTCCATTCAGAAGCACATTCACGTATACTGACAAACGTATCTCTAATCAGTCTGGATAATATCCAGGAGCAAAAAGTGGACACAATACATAGAGGTTGTCAAACTGACGTAAACTGGACGCAGATTGTGTTGTTTCAGAATCCTTTCCGTGTCCCGCAATCATTTTCCATTAAAAATGCTTTCGCAGCTATTTTTCTCTCCCTCCCTTTGTCTCCTTTTGTCTCCCTTAATCTCTGGCTCTTCTTTTTCTCTCCGATCACACTCTTCTTTCCATTTCTTTCTTTCTTTCTCCACTTCAATTATCTCTCCCGTTTCCTGTCCTGGTTATAATGATTTTTCCTGTAAGAAAATAATATTACATTAAGTATTGAACGACACACTTCCGATAACCCAAATAACCAACCAAAACTATTAGGGAAACACGACTGACAGTCTCAATTGGTTATTTTCTGTTTACACTAATGTTAATAACTATGCCGCCGGGCGTAAAGGGCTGCCGAAAGTCTCTATTTTTGTCAAGTTAGTTCTGGAATCGAAAGAAGTCAACGAAGACGAAAAAGAACACAATAGGGAGAGAGAAGATGTTGAAGAAGATGATAAGGATGTCGATGAAGATGAGGAAAAAAAGACGAATACAATTTCTAGGAAGACGAAGATGACTACGAGGTATGAGACAAAATAAGAAAGAAGTCTACGAGGAAGAAAACTAAGACGACTATGAGGAAGACGACGTCGAAGAAGAAGACGGCAAAAAAGAAGGGTGTGTGTATATATATATATATAT